TATATATTAACACTAAGTGTTTGTACTTAGAGATACTTTAAATACATGACTTTATTTGTGTAAGAAAGTTAGATTTTTTTTTTTAAAGATTTATTTATTTATTTATACTAGCACTGGGTACAGTCAGAAGCGCAGGAGGGCGAGAGAATTCACCAGAGCCAGAGCGGGGAACAGAACAGGCAGACCAACTAAATACACTGCGCAGGGGAGCAGCGGGTGGCAGGAGAGCCATGCGGGACCCTCCTCTGGTGACTGTGGAGCATCCGGGGAATGAACCGGCGCCGCTGAGGCTGCGGGCAGCTTCGCAACCCAGCGCTCAACCGCTGCGCCACCGGGGAGGCCCAAGAAAGTTAAATTTTAAACAAAGGTTGATTCAGGTCCAGATTGTGATACTCGTTTTGGTATAGTAGGTAGTTACTTTACCTAACAGAAGAAAAAAAATGGTAGTGATAGAAGAGGTATTTGGGTGTGACAGGAAATTAAATAAAAGATTTCTATTTTCATTTTCCATCATATATATGAATTACCTTTAGTAGAATTTTGATTTTCTGATTCTTATTTGCTGTTTTTGAAATTTAGCCATCTAATCCAATGGATTTATTCAATTTACTGCTGGTGTACCAATTTATATTCTAGTCTGTGGTTCCCTCTCCCCTTCCCATAATGTACCTATAAACTGTATCAAATAAATATTGATGTCATCTGTATCAGGTTATCTGAAACAAAGTTTATTCCCAATTTCATATTAGCCTTGCTACCTTACTAATCTTGTTACTCAATAGAGTTCAATACTGTGTTCTCCTAAATTACATTCATAAACAGGAATTTATAAGCCATTTTCTTCTGCCCTAGGGGAGGGAATTAACAAGTTATTACTTCAGTGTCTCTGGCTGTGTATAATAAGAGCCAATAAGAATAATAGCAGAAACTTAACTTTTTGGTAGGCATGTTATAATCTACTTACACTGTGGGGATGGAAAAAGGATAGTCAGCATAAATAGAGAAATCTTTATTTAAGTAATTAAAATTTTTTTTAATGGGAATTTGCAGTAGCTTGGCAAGCTACATATTTGTGAAGATCAAAATTACCTTTTAATATAAGCAATTTTAAAATTATTTGTTATATTTTATTCTCTCCTATTCCCATATTAATTTGGATAATTAGAACTTCGTCATCTCTGTTTTCTTGTAGTTAAGCAGGAATTTTTTTAATTCCCATTTTAGTATTTCGTACCAGATATGGGCCAATAATTTCAATGTGGACAGCAAATAATCCTGTGTTGGTTCAATATCCTAAATACAGGAGGTCATTTGATCTGGGGTTTTGTTCTTATCATTAATACCACTTTATATGAGTCATTGTCTAGCTCCTGTATTTTGTGATTGAGTCCCTATCCATTTGGACAGAATAATACACTTGTTTTTCTCATTGGCATTTTAAAGAATATTCATGGTTGTCAACCTAATTTGTATGTGCCATAATAGAATCTATGTCTCAGTTCGGCCTTAAATGGATATTCATTGCTTTGACTGGTACAGGTTGATAGTAGTGGGAAAGAAGCTTTAGTATTTGCATTTTAGTGTTTCTAGCCAATTAGAACATTCTGCCCTCTTAGAGAATATACATCGTCTGTAAATCTGAGGTAAGGGTAGGTCATATGTATGTCCAGTTTGTAAAATATTTAGACCAAAGACCAATCTTAATGATTTGACACTTTTTATTTGTTTATTTTTACCACCCACTCCTTTCCCCTCTAATTGCCCCCATTCTCCAGTCAGATTTTCAAGGGTTGGTTTTTCAGTTTGGCTTGGTTTCTCTATATTTCACATATAAGTGACACCATCTGGTATTTGTCTTTCTCCTTCTTACTCCATGTTGCCACAAATGACAAGAATTTTTTTTTTTTTGATGGTCAGGTAGTATTCCATTGTGTTTACATACCACATCTTCTTGATCCACTCATCTGTTTTTGGGAATTTATGTTGTTTCCATACTTTGGCTGTTGTAATTAGTGCTACAGTGATCATGGGAGTACAGGTTTCCCTTCAAATTAGTGTTTTTGTATTCTACAGATAGTTACCTAAGATTGGAATTGCTGGGTCTTATGCCTATCCATTTGTAATCTTTTGAGAAACCTCCATACTGTTTTCCATAGGGACTGGACTTACCTACATTCCCACCAACAGTGTATAAGGGTTCCTTTTTCTCCACATCCTCACCAGCATTTGTTGTTTCTGTTCTTCTGGAAATAAACCATTCTCACAGGTATGAGGTGTATCTCGTTGTGGTTTTGATTTCCATTTCCCTCATAAGTGATGATGAACATTTTTTTTCATGTGCCTGCTGGCCATCTGTATGTTTTCTTTGGAAAAATGCCTGTTTAGCTCTTCTGCTCATTTTTTGATTGGTTTTTTTCTTTTTGTTGAGTTATTTGAGTACTTTGTAGATCTTTAATATCAGCCCCATGTCGGATGTATGATGTGCAAAAATTGTTTTTGTTTGTTTTAGATACAATTTGTGCAGAAGCTTTTTAGTTGAGTGTGGTCCCAACTGTTTGTATTCTTCTTTGTGTTCCTTGCTGCTGAAGCCGAATCCTCAAAGACATCTTTGAAGCCTATGTCGGGCAGTGTTTTTTCCCTATGTTTTATTCTATGTATCTTATGTTTTCAGGGCTTAGATCTAAATCTTTTATTCACTTTGAGTTTATTTTTGTGTATTGTTTGAGATAGTGATCTAGTTTCTTTTCTTTTCTTTTTTTTTTTGCATGTGACTATCCAGTTTTTCCAACACCACTTATTGAAGAGGCTTTCCTTGCTCCAGTGTATAGTCTTGTCATAAATTAACTCTCCATATTGGTGTGGATTTATTTCTGGGCTCTCAGTCTGTTTCATTGATCTGTATATCTGTTTTTGTTTCAGTACCATGCTATTTTAATTATTATACATTTGTCTAATAGTTTGAAGTCTAGTAGTGTGATACCATCAGTCTTCCTTTTTTTGGGCCAGGTTTGCTTTGCCTGTTGGGTGTATTTTGTGGTTACATACGAATTTCAGTAATATTTCTTCTGTTTCTTTGAAGAATGCCATTGAAATATTAATAACAATAGCACTGTATTTGTATTTTGCTCTGTGTAGGATGTCTATTTTGACAATGTTGACTTCTGCATCCATGAGCAGGTATTTCTTTCCATTTAAGGGGGTATATTTGCAAATGGGATTATTTTAATTTCTTCCTCTATAGCTTATTGTTTGCATAAATTAAGGCAACTTTTTTATGTATGTTGATTTTATAATCTGCCACTTTGCTGAACTCACTTATTTTTTCAATTAGTATTTCACTGGAGTCTTCAGGATTTTCTATGTATAATATCATATTATCAGCAAATAATGATGGCTTTCCCTCTTCTGTACCAATTGGGATACCTTTTATGTCCTTCTCTTACCTAATTGTTGTAACTAGAACATCTGGTACTATATCAAATAATAGTGGTGAAAGTGGACATCCTTGTCTGGTACTGAAAGCTTTTAGCTTTTCACCATTGAGAATGATGTTAGCTGTGTGTTTGTTATATATGACCTTTATTATATTGAGATATGTTGCTTTTATCCTTAGTTTTTTTAAGGTTTTCTTCATAAATGGATGTTGTATCTTATCAAATGCTTTCTCAGCATCTATTGATATGACCATGGAGTTTTTATTTTTATTGATGTGATAAATTTCATTGATTTACTTTCAGATGTTGCATCACCCTTGTGTCCTTGGCATATTCCTTTTGGTCATAATATAGAATTCTTTTAACTCATTGTTGGATTTGGCTTGCAGAGATATCATTGAAGACTTTTTCTTCTGTGTTCATAAGGGAAATTGGTCTATAGTTTTCTTTTTTGTGTCTTGTGTGTTTGATTTTGTTATTAATGTTGGCCTTATAAAATGTGCTTAGAAGTTTCTTTCTCAAATTTTTAAGAGAATTTGAGCAGGGTGGCGATTACCTCATTTTTGAAGATTTGGTAAAACTCACTTTGGTATTGTCCTAACCTGGACATTGTTTATTGGGAAAGATTTAATTACTGTCTCAGTTTCCTTGCTTGTGATTGGTCTATTCAGGTTTTCTATTTCTTCCTTATTCAGTCTTGGATGGTTGTATATTTTTTTTAAGAATTTGTCCATCTCATCTAGGTTACTGAACTTATTATCGTATAAATATTCATAGTAATCTCTTATTATCCCCTGAATTTCTACAGTATCTGTTGTAATTTCTCTTTTGTTTCTCATCCTATTTACTTGAGTTTTCTTTTTTCTTTCTTAGTGAGCCTGGCTAGAGGTCTGTTTTTATTTTTCAAAGAACTAGCTTTTGGTTTCATTAATCTGCTCTAATTTTTATTGTTTTCTTCTACTGCCTCTTGATTTTGTTTGCTCTTCTTTTTCTAGTTCTTTCAAGTAAGAGGTTATTTGAGCTCTTTCTTGTTTTTTAATGTGGGCCTGTATTGCTATATACTTCCCTCTTAGTACTGTTTTTTTTCTTTGTCTTGTAAGTTCTGGAAAGTTTTGTATTCGCTGTCATTTGTCTCAAGGTATTTTTTGATCATTTATTCTTTGATTTCCCCATTAACCCAGTAATCTTTCAGTAGTTTTTTTATTTAGTATTAGATTTAGTATTTTATTTAGTATTTTTTTATTTATGTATTAGAGGTTTCTCCTGCTTTCTTTTTGGAGTTGATTTCTATTTTGATACCTTTATAGTCAGAGAAGATGCTTTTTGTGATTTCAGTCTTCATGACTCTTTTGATATGTTTCTTGTGACCCAGTATGTGGTCAATCCTGGAGAATGTCCCATATGCACTTGAGAAAAATATATACTCAGTTTTTTGTGGTGTACTGCCATCCCCTATATGTATATAAAGGAATTATCTCTCTCTCTCTCCCTCTCTCTCCCTCTTTCCCTCTCCCTCTCCCTCTCTCTCTCTCTCTCTCTCTCTCTCACACACACACACACACACACACACACACACACATTTTAGCCCATTTGGCCTAAATCTTTAAGTCTATTGTTTCCTTATTTATTTTCTGTCCTGTTGATCTGTCAAATGATGAGAACAGGGCGTTGACATCCCCTGCCACAAATATGTTTTTTTCCAATAGATTTGATACTTTTTAGGCTGTTGTAGATAATGCTGGTAAGAAATTTATTACATAAATACGCTTGGTGCTTTCTAAAAGTCATACAAAATGACCTAAAACACATCGCTCTTTTCCTTTTTTGCTTGGAAAAGATGTCAATCATGGATATTACATCATTTGAGAGACACTGGTACAAGAATGTATGCCAAAAACAAGTTGAAATAGGAACAAGCTTGCAGATAATTTAAATAATCCAATATGATTAGTAAGCATAAAGTGTGTGCCTCATGCAGGCTGAAAACTATTTTGCTTAACTTGCATATTGCTTTACAAAAACAGATAAAAATGAGAAGATCTGACACCAACTTCCTTACTTATTCTCATACAGACAATAACTGCTTTCAACTAGAGCTGAGTTATGACTGCCTCCTTTAGATGGCACGTGTATTCTTCAGTTTGTCTTGGTGGGTGCTCCTCATTGTGTGTGTGTTGTAATAATACACAGGTATAAGGAATAAGTTAGACATGGGATTTTACCTGCTTTCAAGGGAATGGATGAAAGGAAAATTGACTTTGTTTTTCCTTACCTGTGGTAAGAGGTGGTAACGGTAAATCCACTAATTATATATTTAATAAATGAGATTAAAACAGTATTATAAGAGTTTTCTGTCAATTGAGATTTTTTTTTTTGGTATGTATGAATCTTTACACATTATGCAGTCCTTGGAACGTGCTCACCAATACTTGTGGATCCAATTTAACCATCCATCTGATAAATAAGTCTTCCTTCTAACATTCTCATGAAGGATATATCTCCAAAGATCAGACATTTATTTCTTTTTGAGGCAACATATTTCATGTGGCATTCAGAATCCCAGGACAACATACTGTTTCTGATTCATATTATTTTAAAATTTGAGATATAAGTAGTATATTTATGTTCATTTCAGGTATACAACATAATAATTTGAGATTTGTATATGTTGTGAAATGATATCCACAATAAATTTAATTAAAAGTAACATCAATTACCAGACATAGTTACAAATATTTTTCTTGTAATGAGAACTTTTAGGATCAACTTCTTAGCAACTTTCTAACATAAAATACACTATTAGTGACTATAATCACCATGCTATTCATTACAGTCTCAGGATTTATTATTTATTTTTTAACCTTCTCCGCTCAGGTGGGAGTGGGGTGGAGGAAGTTGGTAAAGCTAAAAGCCCCAGTTATAAAACTGAGATTATTGAACTGTAGTTTGGACATGTCTGTTTATACATGTTTTATATAAAGTCAGTTTTACGTGCTCAAGTGACTTTTGAACGTGAGGTGAAGATGTTCTGATAGTGGTGGTTAGGCTATGTGACCCTTCTATTAAAAATATATTTATTGTTTGTAATAAGAAATTCTCTGTCCCCCAAATTGTCGATAATAATTAATTGCAAAGATTTTATTTCTTAAGACAGTTGCTCAGGATAACAAATAAAGTGACCAAATGAAACAGAATTTTAACGTCTTTGTTTCTATTTATGAAAAATGGGAGCACTTTCTAAGATCTTTTGAAGCACTCATAAAACTGATTTAAATTAGCATTATTTGAAGGTAAAATTAGTAAGAAATGTTATTCTGTTCTGTATCTTGCAGAAATATAGCCCTTTACTGCCCTGCTTGTCAGTGAAATATGTTCGATATATTTTTAGTTAAGTATATTAATGAGTGGTTTTATGTTTTTCCATTAAAATCCCCACTAAAAAAGGGGAAAATGAGTGCTTCTCCTGGCTGTTTTAAACAAGAGCTCTCTGGGCTTGTTCTTATTTAGGGTCCATGCCCTTGGGTTTATATGCTCAAAGATGACATGTGGGAACTGATTATACTTCTCTTCCCTGGAGGTCCATTGTGCAGAAGTGCACAGGGATCAGATATGGCATGCCTGCTCCAATTTGCAGTTCTTTTCTTTCTCAGTGACCACATTAAGACTGCTGAATTTTGTGTTGTTTTGGTCTTTAGTTAGTGCTATACTATGGTGCACCTTGCAACTGATTTGGGCATTTGATTTACTTTTATCACTTGTTTTATTCATGGGTGATATTAGAGTTTTACATGTTTATAGAGGCAGAAAAAGAGTAATGTAAATCTTTAGTTACGATTAATTTGGACTCAGTCCTTTTGTGAAAATGTTCAAGTATTTACAGAAGGATCACCAGGATGTTATTTGGGGAGAGCTGTGAGAATTGTCTTGATAATTACTGAGTGAAACTGCAAGGCTCAAATCCTTGCTTTTTTTTTTTTTTCTTTTTTTCTTTTTAGTATTAAGGATAAACAAAGGAAATCTTGTAAAATTTGGCAGTTGAGAATGACCAATTTTTTATAATTTGTTATATTCAGGAGACCTTTTATAGGCATTATTTGAAAGAAATCATGTGGTATTTGTCTTACACATGAACAAAATTAGATTTTCACTCTCTTATTGCTCTGGCTTTATCATTTTTGTTAGACTTTTCCATATTTTTTTGGAACAGGTATTTTTATTGTTCTAACAATTTTTGAATCTCTGATTATGAATGAAAATTAATTCCCTGATAAGTTGCTCTGAAATTTGACCTATTCTTATTTAATGTATTTTGGAACTCATTGGTTGAACTTGCCTGGTTGTGGTTTTTGTTTTTACAGTACCATCTATGATTCATAGAGGTATTGGATTATATTATTTCAGATGCATGGTACCACATCACACCAACCACCAAAGCACCCATAGTCCTCTACCAATAATCTGATGACCCCCTCCTCACTTTGCTCTCCAACCCTGGTAGCCTCAATTTTTTTCAGATTTCTGAGGTTTGTTACTGGTTTGGTTTTTCTGAGCTTTTATTTCTCTATATTTCTCAGATGAGTGACACCATCTGGTATTTATCTTTCTCTTTCTGACTTAACTTTGCTTAGCATAATTACTTCCAGGTCCATCTATGTTGTCACAAATGGCAAGAGTTGAGAATTTTTTTTTAATAGTGGAGTAATAGTCTGTTGTGTTTAATATACAATGTCTTTTTAATCCACTCATCTGCCCTCAGGTGTGTAGGTTGCTTCCATAACTTGGCAGTTGTGAATAATCCTGCAGTGAACACAAGATACATATTTCCCTTTAAATTACTGTTTTTGTATTCTTTGAGTAGAGTTACTGGAATGTATAATAGATCTATTTTTAATATTTTGAGAAACTTCCATACTGTTTTGTATCCCCACCAACATTGCATGAGTATTCTTTTTTTTCCTTCACATCCTCACCATGTTGTTCTTTTTTATGTGTTTTGGTGAAGAACTTAGGTGACTAAAAAACTGATTTATATAGACGATGGCTTTTATTTGCAAAGTATTCTGGTCTTAACACTGCATCACTTTATTTTGGGGGCCTTTTTTATGTAAAATGGAATAGGTGAGCTCGCTTTTCTAATATCTATTCCAGTTAATCTAGCATCTTAGAGGTTTTTAATTCTAAAGACCTGGTGTTCCAGAAAACAGAGTATTTTACTAATCATTACATATTATTTTGTCACTGTAGAAATTTTGAAAGTTGTGTTTTGTAATTACTGCATCGCCCATATTCACCCATATTCCTTTGTGTACTGCTGTTTAAAAAAATTGTTTTCAACTTATAGTTTTGTCTCTCATTTCTTCTCCATCTTCTAGCCAAAATGTTTTAGGTTTTGCCTGTAGAATGGGCTTCACACTTTCTTACGTCAATGTTTTTGCTTATACTGTTTTCTTTATACCTGTTCTCTTTCCCATCTGTCAGCTACTTTTGAGCCCCCATAACGTTTTGTTTATAATTATTTTGACTTTGTAAAATAGCTGTTTATATAACTGCTATGCTGCATATGAGAATATAAAATTCTTGCAGGCACATGTTTAATTGTCATCATTTTACTGTCCCTATTATTAATTCACAAAATACTTGTCATATAAATAGGGACTTAATTAATATTTGAAAAATTGAATTATAAGATGACTAATTGAAATTACAGATGCAGTCAATGCCTGTGAACAGTGAAAAATTAACAGGATAATAAGGAAATTAACTTACCCATTTTGAATTAAAGCAATATTTTAACTATCTACACTGCAGACATTTGTATTCCATGCCCATTAATTCTTATTCACCTAAACATTTAACACTTCTGTTTTCCCTTTGTACCCACTTAACTGCTTGCCTTCATTCATCATTTTAGTTTAGCACTGCCATATGCTTAAACTTTTAATAGTATCTAATTTTGTTAACACGCTCTTGCTTTGATTTATATACACATGTTCTAACTTTCATCTCCTTGTACTTGTTCGTAGACTTATCAAGCTTAATTTAATCTCTTAGTGCTTTTTGGTTCTCTCCTATTTATATATTTTTTTACTTGTTCTTTTACTTTGTGAGAAAGCATTTATTCTTTGTTTGTTAAAGGCATATGCCCTTTTGTTGCTCTCTCTCTGTGAAGTTTACATTGACAAGTGTCTTAGAATCAGTCTGCTATTGGGATTAATGGTAGAATTGCTAGTTATCAGGAATGAAATTGAGTTAGCTCTGTAGGGTTAGCACTCCTACATTTTTTTAATGGGAGACTGTCTTAAATGGCAATGCTAGTACCAACCCTTTGTTAATGGAGTTGATACTGATCACAAAAGATGTCAGATGCTAATTGACATTTTCACAGGTGAGTTGATACTTGAATTGTAGGATTTATCAAAGAATTTCAAAATCATCTTAATGATACCCCCCTCACCCTTCCATGATAAATGGATGGTTGACTTTGACTGGATAAAAGAACAAAGGGCAGTGAGACAATGAGAACAAAAACTGAAAAAGAGAGGAAAAGTAAAATATATATGTATCAAAAATTTCCCTATCTTTGTCACTTGGAGTCATGAACATTTATTGATTTGGGGGAACATTGGTTAGGAATGATGAGAAGATTTTGGGGAACATTGATTGAGAGATGAAAAGATAATGTGAGAAAGTGTCACAGAGGAATTTATATTGAAGTAAGCTTAAAACCAAGTTCTTTTTAGTTCTGTTTTTTATAGCATATCTCAAACTCTAACGAACTTACTGTATTGCCAGATATTTAAGGTACATATTATATTTGTATAATAGTAAAGGTTAGCCCATACATTCCTTAAGAAGATGTTTAAATAGATTTTCTCAAAAAGCATACAGCTAATGTAACACAGTCTCACTTAACATACATAAAAAAGAAAAATATGCACTGTTCCTTCCTTTCTATCAGAGATAGTAAGTAAATAGGAATTATCCTGAACTCTTTCCCTCGTAATTGTAGTGAAAGTGTTTGAGTAGAGAACAAAATTGCATGTAGACTTAAAATAATTTTCATTAATTTTGATTTTAGAAAATGTTAAGCCATTTATTTTATTTTAACAGGTTTCTTTCAGATGAAGGCATTGAAGCTTGCACAAGTTCTCCTGACAAAGTCAATATAAATGACATCATCCTGATTGCTCTCAATGTAGGTTATGTTTATTAACTTACAAAACATCTTTAATCTGGAAGCTATGGTCATGAAAAGTGTCTCATAGAATAAAATGGATTTTATGATAAGTAATATGGAGAACATTTTTCATTTTTATTGTCTATTTAAAGTTGTAGTGATTGTTGGATTTGGTAATTTCATCAGCCAACTACTAGAGATATATTTTTTTAACATCTTTTACATAGAATCCAATGAAAGAAGGGGGAAAAGCAATTAAAATTGCTTTTTCTAAACCCAGTGATCAATTATTGCATTTTATTTTGTTTACAGTAGCTATAAAATAGTACTAAAAACTGATCATTTCATTAAAACTAAATGCTATTTAATTTGTGCAGAAACACTAGCTAGGTTATTGTTTTTTGACACTTGTATTTATTACTTCAAAATATTGATATAAGTAACATGTATTGTGGAAGTCTGTAAATAACCAGAAAAACAAATAAGAAAAAGCTACTTATAATCAATGATAATGTTTTAAGAGTATGTATATATATATATATAAAAATATTAAATATATACATTTCTTTCCGACTTCTTCCCCTCTACCTATGGAGATTAGCTTTCTGATTTAAGAGATAAAAATAAAGATTGTTTGAAATATAGATGTGGGTAAATGAATATTCTTTTTTCAACCTGTGATTAATCCCTGTGGAAGTTTTTTTTTTTTCCTTTATAATTACAATCTATTAACAATCAAATTTATATAATACAATACATAATCAGTAGCATCTATAAGAGAATTACGTCTGATAAATGCATCATACCACTACAAAATAGGTTAATGTAAAGCAGAAATTGCAGCAATTGAATGAGCATTGAAATATATATTTATGTAAGTATGTGTAACTTTTTCTTTTCAAGTAACATGTGTATTTTTATAATTAAGCTTGGATTTAAAAGATAAAATTTGTTTTGAAATCTGTCCTTTTTTCAGCTTCTTTGCAGTTGAGTTAATAAGACTAGTAAGATATTTTTTTTGTTTCCTATAAGTACTTAAGTTCTTAATAAATAAGGCTATAAATTTTTCTGTAGTAAACATGTTAAAAATTATGTATGTTATCTATGACCAGAAGTGAAAATATTTCCTAGACACTCTTCTTTAATTTACACCTAAATGGTGAATTTTACTGTCAAAAATGTTATAAAGAACTCTTTGAAGATGATAGGAGAGATTTTATGACAGTCTTTGCTTTTCTCTATTTGTCTTATTTACATAAATAGTAATGAACTAACCTAAAACTTTGTTACTGTCATTTGGACTTGAGGCTTAGTTTTGCCTGGTATAGGTCCAGTTGGTGAGTTTTAGTTTAGAAGTGATACTTGTACTACATTTCAATATTTGGATATTTCAAATAGGACAATATTCTATTATTGTAGGTGTGCAAAGAAAACTGTTCTAGTTTTCTACTATGTGTATGAACATCATTTCATATTACAGTACTTTTAATCATCGTGTGTGTTCTGAAGTGTAACATGAATTGCTCCCTTATTACCTATGTGATTAAATGCACTCTAAATCTGTTTTATTTTTCTCTTAAGCTGGTGAAGAGTTACTGTTTACTATATTTTAGTGAATAACAAAATAATACAAATTTAGTTATTAATTTAATATATTAAATCACTAACATAAAAGTAATTTCTTAAATAATTAGGCCTTTTTCATGAGTGAGGTAATAATCCTCCTGTATTTTTTTTTTTTTAACCATTAAAGGTTTTTCATTTCCTGAAGAGGACACAATTGTTAAAAGTTAATGCTTTTTATGTAGACTGTGTGGTTTTGGTTTTATACCAGAAGTGGTATAACTTTGTGTTAATTTTTATGATTTCCTTTCTATGTTTTGCTGACTAATGCATCTTTATATAGCTAGTCATTTGTTCACCTACTACTTTTTCTATATTTGTTAAATGAAATTAATTTTTACTACAGTAAAGTCTTCTGACTCCTTGAGGTGGCAGCAGTATTGTTCAATAGATGTTTGTATGCTATAAATTTGTTTTATATTGAGTATCAGAGCATATAGGAAAGTGTGTCTTCACATCACTGCATATCAACATTATATAGAATTTAGTTGTTAAAAATGTGCCTTTTTTATGTATCAGAAGTAGTCATTTGGTTTTGAATTGTGGAATTTATTTTTTAGTAAGATTGTAGTTTATGTAAGATCAAGTTTTCAATTTTAATAGAGAATTTAGTAAGTTAAAAGATTACCCGAAAATATGACTAGAATTAAGGCCTTATGTTTTATTGTACAACTTAGTGGTGTATTTTAAACAATGTGTGTGTGGGGTATATTATTTGAAATGATTATATATATAGATCTCATAAACAGTCAAAAGGCATTTATTTAAATTTTGTTCCACAGACCTTAAGTATCTCATTTTTTGTTTGTGAGTGAGGTTATATTTACTTTTCTCTATAAATATATTTTAATAATATTATTTTTATTTTAGACAGACTTGAGAACAATTGGCAAGAAATTCCTCCCCAGTGACATCAATGGTGGAAAGGTAGACAAGGTAATGAAATGTGTTGATGTCCTAAGTTATACAAACCACAATAAATATGAACATCTATTAAATTACTGCAATTTTTTTTTTTTGTCAATAGAAACAGCAACTACAAAATATTTGGAGGTAAACAGGTCACAGAGTCATCATAGTGACTTTCTATATACGTGGATATACATGGAAAATGATCAAGATTTAAACTTTTAATCTTCTGGTGATTTTTCAACTTTAAAAAACTTTGTTTTAGGATTTATAACCATGACACACTTTCTCTAAATGCAAGACTTTTCAGATGTTAGAGCTCAGGACAAGAACTTTTTCATACATTTTAATTTTAGTTTCCTGTTCCTAAGTTTATTTATTGAACTTATTAATTTAAAAGTAGGAAATTGTGGGCCTCCCCGGTGGCGCAGTGGTTGAGTGCTGGGTTGCGAAGCTGCCCGCAGACTCTGCAGCGCTGGTTCAATTCCCAGCTGCTCCCCGGGCACCGGGAGAGGGTCCCACAAGGCGCACAGACCTCTCCTGCTGCCCTCTGCTCCCCTCAGCAGTGTACTTCGGTCCTTCTGCCTGCTCTGCTCCCTGCTCTGGCTCTGGTGAATTCTCTCACCCTCCCGCGCTTCTCATTGTACCCAGTGCTTATATAAATTTAAAAAAAAAAAAAATCTTAAAAAAAAAAACAACTTAAAAAAAAATAAAAGTAGGAAATTGTAAGAAATACTAGGATCAATTTGGCAAAGCTGTCCATTTGGTTATTGTTACCATTTTTGCATTACAGTTAAGTATTCATGTTACAGTTTTTTTTTTCAGTGATCTTTTTAAAGTATGAGGATGCAACTTTTAGATAACAACCATTCTTTTGTATTTTATTCATTTATATCCATTTTCTTCTTTTTCTTACAAATGCATATAAACTGTGCCAACCAAGAATTTTATATGCGGTCACTTTTGGACTATTAAGGAACATCATTATCTATAGTTTAAAGAAATACTTTCAATATGTATGTTTTGTATTTTAATAATGTATTCTTAATCAACACTGAGTTATTTTAAAGTTATTGTACCTCAGACATTTTAAATTTAGATGATTTTAAAAGCCTGGAACATAGTAACATTTTCCACATTTTCTAAATACTAATACATTTATGCAATGCATGATACTTACTGTAAAGAATGACAAGAGTCTCTAATCTACTGCAGGTTTTTAAGAAGCTACCCAGAGATAAAGGCTTTTCAGACTCCTTAGTAATTCATTTGAGTGTTTAACTCTATTCCATGTCTGCAAACTTTAACCTAAATTCTTATGCTGCACCTTGAAGTCTGAATGTCTTCTTTATCTTCCCTCAGGGGAAATGGAGAACATCTGCTTACTTCCCTTGTGAATAATTCTTTATATACTTGAAGACCTGGAAATGTCACTTGTACAGGTTTCTTTTGGCTGTAGCCATCTATCTTGGTTCCTTTATTTATTCTCAGTCTTAAGCTTTTCATTTACCTTCGTTGTTCTCAGAGTTCTATCCAGTTTCTCAATTTTTTTTTTTTTATTGTGGTGGTAGTTCTCAGACTTCATCGTACACAGGGATCATCCTAAGGCTTGGCTAAAAGATTCTGCCCTGCCCTAGCTTCTGATTTCATTGAATTGGGATAGAGCCTAAGAATTTTATTTTGAACTTGTTTCCGTGGTTTGTTAATTTACTGGTCTAAGTAGCATACTTAGAAAATAGCTAAATTACAGAACCTCAGATTAGGCACCAATCTTATGGGTCTAGAGCATGCAACAGTTCTTTACAGGAAAAATAACTAATATCAAAGCAGAGTCTATGTATCATTATACTGATTTATTTGATAAAATTTTGAAACTTTCTGGATTACTGGTTTTCCATTTTCTCTGTGAATATTTTTTTTTTTTTTTTTTTAAAGATTTTTTATTTATTTATACAAGCACTGGGTACAGTCAGAAGCGCAGGAGGGTGAGAGAATTCACCAGAGCCAGAGCGGGGAGCAGAGCAGGCAGAAGGGCCGAAGTACACTGCTGAGGGGAGCAGCGGGCGGCAGGAGAGGTCTGCGTGCCATGTGGGACCCTCCTCCGGTGACCGGGGAGCAGCCCGGGGATCGAACCGGCGCTGCAGAGGCTGCTGGGGCAGCTTCGCAACCCAGCGCTCAGCGCTTGCCGCCGCTGCGCCACAGGAGGCCCTTCTTTGTGAATATTTTTAGAACTTCTGAGAACCCACCTTTGCTTAACAGATCATTGAAATGGTACTGATGAGACTTTTTTCTGCTCCCTCCACCTCCTCAAAGACTTTTTTGCTTTAAAGTTTTGAATGTAACTAACAACAATAAAACAAACAACTGAAACTTTTGAATCTAGAATTTTCTCTGCCAAATTTTAACCATTCAAATATTCTTACTGGTATTAAGACTTGAGTTTATATTTAATAAGCATATACAAAATTAAGCCCTTTTCACATGAAACAATCCAATACCCCTTCTGCTCTTCAATTATATTTTTCTTTACTACTGCTAACATCAAATATAGTTCCCTTCACAGTATAGTGAAGATGTTTTGAAAGATAATTTTAATAAAAAATTTCGGAAGCTGACCTATAGGAATTGC